GCTCATTGGGGAGCCTGCTTCTCCCTCTCCCCCTGCCCCCTCCCCATCCCCATCCCCCTGCTCATGGGTGTTCTCTCTCTCTCTCAAATAAATAAATAAAATATTTAGGGGGAAAAAATAATAATTGGCAGACGGAGCAACAATGTTAATGTGACCTGTCAAATTTCTTCTAGAACAGTGGTTCTCACTGGGGGCAATGCTGCCCCCCTCAGGGGACACTTGGCAATATCAGCAGACACCTGCCGTTGGCACCTCTGGCTTGAGTGGAAGGGTGTTCTTGACATCTAGTGGATTAGGGATGCTCCTAAACATCCTACAATGCACAAGACAGCTCCCTATAACAGAATTATCTGGCCCAAATTATCAATAGTGCCGAGGAGAAACCCCGTTCTAAAGGATAAGGTGGACAGAGGGTACAATAAGACACAGCCACTGTGGATTTTCCCGAGAGGGAGAGAGGAGACCTGGAGATGGTGGACCTTCTCAAATTACTGTTCTGCCACTATTCACGCGCCGGGTGATGCTCACACACTCCGAGGATTCGGAACTCTGCATCTTTCCTTCTCATTCCTCAGAGTGAGAAGGATGCTGTTCCTGGAACCTTGAATTTGACCCAATGGATATACGTAAAGGAAATCATTTACAAACTTCAATACTTGATTAGTGACAAAGGTGCCTGTGATCACAGCTGATCAAAGCATGCAGCTATGCAACAGTGAAGTGCAGAATCACGGCCTCGGGCGCTGCAGAAGGGGAGAAAGATAGCTCTCCACTTCTAGCAAAATCAGTCACCTTTCAATATAGGTAGAAACACATGGAAAAGCAAGTCCTCCCACCAAGAAAACCAAGAGTCATTGATCCTCCACAACTTTCACTGCTGTCCTCCAGGATAGAAAACATTCCCCGGGGGAACCAATCCAATCTGCCATCACTTTTTAAATTAAAGTCCCACTATCCGGCCAAGTTTAGAGAATACAGAGTCTTTAACATGTAAAATGTAAAAACAGGCCAAAGACACGCTTAAAGCCCAATATTTGTTGAAAGCGAGGATATCAAAATACATTCTCCCCAGGCTGAAAAAGGAAAATAAAATTCTTTTTTTCGGATAATGTCTTTTTGCTGCTTTCACTCTCATTTCTACCGGCATCTTCAAGGGCTCACCTTTGTCTCATTAGCGCTGCCCCCACGACAACAGTTCAGCAATTGAAGGCAGCTATTTGGAAGCAGAGCACAAGCACCAAACACAGGAGCCAAGTTGAACTTCACAAATTGGAGAATCTGCCCTCTCTTTGGTTTTCAGTTGAAGAAATGAGATTTCATTACAAAGACAATGCTTGGAAAAGTGCTTGGGCAGGAAACAGCACTCCCAGCATGGGGTCCCATCCATTCAACGGTGCAGCTGGGAAGGGATTTAGGACTTTGCGATACATCTGGATTAAAGGGATCTTTACAGAGAATTGTGTCTGCATAGTGTATTTCTGGAAGGGTGCAGGGGAAGCTGGCAGCAGTGGTGGCCTCTGGGGAGGTGAAGTGGGTGTCAAGGGAGCAGAGGAGGAAGAGAAAGTCATTGCTCACAGTATGCTTTGAATTCTGAAGCAGGTACATGTATTACCTACTCATAAAATAATAATAATCTAGAAAATGAATGAAAATTACTTACACACACACACAAAACAAATGAATGACATAAAACCCACTCCCTCAAAAAAGATTCTGTTAAAAAAAAAACCAAGTTAGTGAATCCCATGTTTTCATCCTCTGACTTAAGCCTCCTCTTGTCTGGGTAGTCATGGGAGTCATGGAAGAAGAAAACACTCACATCTATAGCGGGAGCTTTACATTCACTTCTGAACTCCTGACACTTATTTCCAACTATCAGGCGCTTCTCCGGGAGGCTCCACCCACGAGCACCTCAAAGACAACATGTCCCAAACCCAAATCCTCCTCTTCTCTCCCTCCTTCGTACCTACTTCCCTCCAAGCCTGATCCTGCTCCAATATTCTCAGTCATTATTAGAAAAAAACCAACCATTCAGCTTCCCAATCTAAAAACCTTACTGTTACCTTGAGGACCCTCTCCTCACCCTCTTTATAGCCACCAAATATTGTTAATTCCATCATGATGGTGTTTTGCAAAGAGATGACCTCTTGTCCTATCCCACGGACCCTTTCTAGTTCAAGGAATTATAAACTACATTCCTTCACTGGAATGGGAGCTCCTGCTGGTTTTCCAGCTACTTCATTCTTTACACTTCCCCAGCCCCCACCCCCATCATCTTTCTCAAACACAATTACCTGATCATGCTTCAGAACCTTGGATAGCTCCCTATTGTCTACAGATTTTAGCCCAAATGTCCTAGTTTGACAAATGATCATTTACACTGTGGCCTGAAAAAAAAATCCCATCCCTAACACATACCCTATGCTCTGGCCACTTGGTGTAACAAGCTTTGCTCATTTATGCCTCTTAGGAGCTTCCACAACTTCGCACTTGCTGTTTCCTTGACTTGAACGCTTTCCCCTCCCTCTCCGCCTTGCCTTGGACAAAAACAATTTCCTATTCCCCCTTCCAAATGCCCCACTCAGTTTATACCCTCTCTGAAAAGCCTTTTAGGACTGCTCCCTCCTCTGTACTCCTCTAACACTTTGTACACACCCTCATCATCGCCCCAACCACACTCTTTCATAATTATTTATGTTTCTATCTCCCCTGCCAGAATGTGAGCTGCTTTAAGAAACAGCTGCTATATTTTATTCATCTTTGAATCCACTGCACCCCCTTGCTAACACTGCACATAAATGTTTGCTGAATGAATTGACTGAAAGTACTTTGGTAAAAATGTAACACATTATCCCAAAATTTTATAGACTTCTGTGTCTAAAATCTCATTTCTTTGCCTTCTCTCTCTGCATACCCATTGGCACACTATCAGGTCTCAGGGGGACCAGTTATTCAAAAGGAACTAACAAAGTGCCTGCTATTTGTAAACAGGGCCATTTGTGAACCCTCTGGGCTAGATTTAGAGATTGCCTTTTTAACTCTGACAATGCTCTTTTGAGTACTCACTCCACTTTAAGAAGCATTTCTTTTCCAAATATCTTGAGTCCTATAAGTAACCTTTGTTTACCCTGAAAACACTTACAGGGAAGCTGAAAGGAGCTAAAAGGCAATATAGTGACCCTGCTGGGACCTACCTGGTCAGTGAGCCAGCCTCCAGCCACCTAAGAGGAGGAGTGGAGCTTCAGAGACTCAGCTCAAATCCCTGCCTACTTCCACCACCAGCAACTACACAAGTGCTTGAACCTCCAAGGACTCTCTGCTCCCCAGTGAAGATCATGGCAGTCCATTAATCACAAGATGATTCTAGTAAGCATCACAAGCAAAATGATAACCCCAGTGTCCTGAAGAACAGTGCGTAACAAATTTGGGTAAGATGAGGGGTAGACACTCATTCAAATGGAGCCCAAGGGGACAGAGACCCAGTGACAACTCCCAGCCTCGGGGTCTTTGGCTCTTGCTCTTTTCTCTCTATCGGGAATGTTCTACCAGGAGATATTTGCATTTAGGTCTCTGCTTGAATGTGACCTCCCAAGAGGCTTCCCTGATGACTCAATCCAAAAGAGCACTATCCATTACTGGCCATCTATCTCCTCACCCTGCTTTATTTGTCTTTCCAGCACTTTGAGCACATCATAGCACTTGTACCTGATACCATATTGCCTATGTGTTTGTATGCTGACCATTGTCCCCCACCCCCACTCATTCACCCTAGAGAGCAGGGACCTTGTCTTGTTCCTAGACCATCCAAGCACACAGTAATCTCCCCATAAATGTTTATTCATTTTTTTAAAAAAGGGTACAAAGAAATATTCAAGTAGTTGACAATTTCGGCAAAGATGTAAGACCCAAGTTAAAATGTTAAAAGCCAGCAAGGCTAAATACATGTAATAGATGGATGATAAGGAAAGTAAATGACAGATTTGCTGAGGAAGGAGTGATTGTGCATGGGGATGGCAAGAGAATGTTTCCCAGAGAAGATGGGATTCGTGTCTGTCTCAAAGGCACTGGAAAATTCAGTTAAGTTTGAGAAAACAGGCCAGTGTTTCACCCTGGAAGACTCTACAACCCATGTGTGATAAGGCCAAATGATTAACACGTGAGGGTTCACAGCTTACCCAACCCTTGGCCACCCACTATCCAGTAGAGAAATGATAAAAGCCCCAAAGGTAGATTCTCTCAAGGAAAGCTGACAGAGTCAAAGAAGAATCACAAACCCCATATACATCGAGAGGTGGTGGGTAGGACTGGAGGAGTGTTCAAGAAACGAAGACAGCAGGAAGAGCACAGCACAACGTTATGAGTTTTGGGGGTGATGAAAAACACTAAGGGAGAAGGAATCTGTCATGAGCGTTACTAAGCCTTTTCGCGTGTGCATGAACATCCTTAATGAGGAGGAGCCTCCTCACGAGACAGGTGCATGAGTCCTGACTGTGTCGACGTTGACTTATCCCTTTGTGCTTGCATCTCCTCATCAGTAAAACCGGAAATAATAACCTACACCATGGGATCGCTGTGGGGATTAAATGAGTTGATGAGAGCCACACCCGGCATGTCAGGATTGTCCTTATTATTAGAATTTTGAGCCCTGCTTCTTTCAATGCAACTTTGACCTAATAATGGTCTCTATGGAGCATGGCTTTATACAAATTACACGTTTTAAGGAGTAATATCATCAACAGCCTGGCCAAAGTGAAAGGGTCAGTGTTGGGATAAACTTAGAGAGGCAAACTGAAGTGAGGCTACTGGAGACCCTACATCCCCAGCTGATGAATCCAATCTTTCAGTAACCACTGGCTTCTTTAGGTGAGCACGGTGGCCCTCAGATGAAATTACTTTGCAGGTAAAAGAGGGCCTGAGCACCTTTCCAAGTAAAGTGAGCATGGACCACTTGACAGAGTGGTGGTCCCCATCCAGCCTAGGAATGCAATGTGGGTACTCACGGTTCCGGAGTGTAGAGGGGGTCTGAGCCATGTCGGACGTACTGAGTACAGTGGAACACTCTGTAGGCCAGTCCCGCCAGAAAGTCTCTCGGACTCAGGTATCCAGCCACCGGCCTCACGGTGAAGCCTGATCTTTCTGAAATGACAGAAAGAGCCAACTAAATATTAACTCGACAAGACTTGAGGGCCCAAGCAGGGCGTCCTATTATTTATAAGGACATTCTAGAAACAAAGTAATCAAGGTCTTAAAATTCTTGACAATTGAATGACATCTACTGTTAATAGCTATCACGTTTGTGGCTTCTGATTACTAAAATATACTCCCGCATGATGGTTTCCAGGGGAACAAGACATTCATTAAAATGGAAAGACAGGTGAAAAAAAAAATGTTAAAGATTTAAATTCAGAAGCCAAATTAGGATAAGAAAGCTCAAATTCGCGGGACAAGATTACAATGAAAGCGAGGCTTACCGCATATTACCTGGTATCTTTCTCAAAGACACACCCTTTCCCCCTGTATGTGTTCAGTTAACACACAGCTAATTCACCCCCGTCACTAGCCTGGTGGAACCAGTTCACACTACGGCTTTCTATTGTCAACACCCCTACCTCCTTCATTCCATATTACTGTTTTCTGTGATACTATGAAAAGAATCATATTAATTACTGTCATTTGAAGAGGTACACTAGGGCGCCTGGGTGGCTCAGATGGTTAAGCGTCTGCCTTCGGCTCGGGTCATGATCCCGGGGTCCCGGGATCGAGTCCCGCATCGGGCTCCCT